ATTTAGTTGATGTCAAAAATATACTTATACCGAACACCACCTTACTTAATTTACAGGGACTTCCTGATCAGGCAAAGTCAAGTCAAAATCTCGTCAAGTACGCTCCTACCGAACAAGCCCTAAATTTTACAGAGCATTTGTGTACGATTGCAAAGGCCATTTCCACATATACGGACATGATAGAGAGGGTGAAAAAGTGGCTGCGGAGGCTGTGCTTACACATGAGAATGCAGAGCATCGAAATAAGCCAGTTCTACACAGCATCATGCCCGCGCTGCCCTCCGAGAAATCGACCCCAACGATAGAAACTTGCGCTCCCGTAAGAAGCAGTATACAAGGAAGGATAGCCTTTCCTCAGGGTGAGCGAAATCAGTGTGGAATAGATGGGTATCAGTATCACGAAGAAGCGCTGAAAGAATCAGTGCCCTAGATGGAAGCTCTCCGCGCACAAGGCGTCGATCTTATACTATTAGAATACGGCGCGCCAGCTCATGTATCACGTATCACAAAGGGTTATTTATCTGTACATAAAATACAATGTCTAGAATGGCCGGGGCACTCGCCAATCGTCAACGCCTCTGAGCATGCATGGCCCTGGATCCCGCGGCATATCACCAATGAGATGGCCCGTACATACGAGGCACAGTATCGACACCAATAGCAAGAACAATGGGATATCCTCCCCCGGAAACAGATCAAAAATTGGATTAACCACGTGCCTGAGGTTGTTCGCCATATCATAAAGCATGGCGGCGATAACGAGTTCCATGATGGCCGAGTCCACCCAGCAAAGCCCAATAAAGCTCTATGTACTAACCGATCGAGTTTTGAAATTCTATTATCGAATCCACGATATAAAACAACGCCAGCGTTGTGCAATTATCATACATTTTGGGGTGGTGGGTGCATCTGTATTACCGTGCCCCGCATATCGAGCGTGCACGGGTGACTTCCTAAAAACGAGCTCCTTCCGTACAAGTTAACGTACTAGAATTCTTCGTGACAAGATCTCCTCTGGTTGGCTTGGAAGGGTTTGGTACGCTAATTTCTAGTTAACGTGAGCTGGAATTCCGTTACCAAAGACCGATCATACTGTATTTTAGCCTGGTGTATCTGCCTCAGCATTGATGGCCCAACACGATGACATTTAATAATCTCTGCGTAGTTCATAGATTCTCCAGGACTCAGCGGTTCTGTTGCTGCAAGTGCAGCCTCGATTGACCTTATACTAGTTGCAGAAAATAGCGTTGAAGTGTGAGGTGTTTTTTGGGCATTGACGACGCTTGGCGGAGATTGGCTCCGTAGACCGTCAAGAACCTCTGGCTCATCTTGGCAAATGGCGTCTGGTCTATGTCGTGATTGTATCGGGGTAGTTCTCTGCTGTATCCACAATTTCGAAATATGCCGTAAGTGCATGTGACAGGGACTAGGCAAAATTCTGTGGAGAGTCGGGTTCTCGGCGATTTAGGCTTGGTGCGGAGTGGTGTGACCCAAATTACTGGACCTATGGCGCCCGGTGCATGATCAGGCCGACTTGCATTCGACGGGTAGCTTGCATTCTATGGAATGTGGAGACCCGGGAATAAACACCGCAGGTCCTAATGGGAAGTGCCATCAGCCTCTGTGCGCCACGACGTGTTTCCGACGTCTTCGCTACCCAACGGCTAGCTCAGCCCTTTGTATCTGTTTCTTGGATTCGGGATAACGGTGTAGTGCCTGCGTTCTTTTTTGCCATGCCGCTGACAGCGCTGAAATAAACCTGCGATAGATAATAATCTATTGAAGATAATTCTCGTTCATCCAGATTTCATCCAGATTTCGGAAAGGTTACTTCCTCCTCGATCTGCCATTTGTCTTTGTCCAGCTGGTGCAAATCTTTTTCGAAACACATTCCTCAACTACCTATTCTTTAGAATCAACTCAACTTATCGACAGGAACATGGTGAAAGAGGGGGATGTGGGCGTCGTGGGTGGTGTGAACGTTGGCTTGCCGGTACTAATGACTATGGGTGCGTTCCTGTCCATAGCGCTGTACAACGTCATTGAGCTCAACTTCCTCATCTTCGCAATTTTCAAACGGCGGAAGGGAGTATACTTTTGGAGTCTCCTAGTCGCGACCTGGGGCATTGTCCCTCACGCAATTGGCTTCATCTTCAAATTCTTCCGGGTTATCTCGATACCCGTGTTGTCCAGCGCCCTGGTTGCGCTTGGCTGGCCATGTATGGTGACAGGGCAGTCACTTGTGCTATATTCTCGGCTCCATCTGGTCGTCAAGAATAAGCGGAAGATACGATGGGTGTTATACATGATTATCTTTAATGTTGTTGTTCTGCACTTCCCTGTCATCGCCCTAGCTCTCAGTGCTGAGGCAACGCATTCAAATCGCATCATTCGTGTCTTCACCACATACGACAAGGTCCAGATCGTGGTTTTCTTCATCCAAGAGGCTATGATTTCCATTATCTATATCTACGAGACGGTACATTTGCTGGGGTGCGGCGGCCAGTACAATGACGGACCCCTACGAAAACTACTTGGCCACCTCATCTTTGTCAACGTCGTGGTTCTGGTGTTTGACGCCACTCTGCTAGCCACGCAGTTCACTGGACACTATGAGATCCAGACGACGTACAAAACGGCCGTGTACAGCATCAAGCTAAAGATCGAGTTCTCCATCCTTAACCGTTTGGTCCATGTCGTTAAGAGTAAACATCTGCTCGGCAATCAAGGAAGATTCGGAGATGATACCGTTCCTCTAAGCACTCGAACAAGCAGAAAGAAGTCTCAATTTACTACCAGTGCGGGTCGCCAGGACTCCTTTGTTAGGGTGAACGACAAGAAGTCGAGAATTGGCAATGGCAAGAAGCCAACAATGAAGGCGTCAGACGGAAGCATCGAAAAAGGCTATAATTTGGACGGAAAGCACGAGGTATCCGATTCTAAGCTAACTCCAAACGACTGTTGCAAGCCAGATAAAATATTAACGCCCCCCTATGGGTACGATATGCATTAGTATTCTTACCATACGTTCTCTATAGATAGGCTCAGTTAAAGTGCTCAATAGAACACATACATAATATACTTTACATCATCTCATCCTAAACGACTAAAATCACATTAAAATACAACGAGTAGACATGACTGTGTTGTTATATAACGTCTAGATATGCAACCATAGGTGTGCTGGGTATAAGTGTACATCCTCACTAAACTTATTTTAAAGTATGGGCGAGTAGTTAAAGATCGCTTAGCTTTAATACTAGAAAGTAGTATGAAATATATGACGATAATTATGGGTTATATATCCATTTATATTGAACTAGATACGGCATAAATGGCCAATGAGTATTAAGTGGATAGAAATACTAGGCCAACTAATTAATAATAAAAGTCTAAAGAGTAAGCTTTTATACTACTATATATCTAAATACCATTACTAATTAAACTAGGACCATACTCGAGTTAGTAATTTTATGGTTAGGAGTAGTATTAACCTCTAACGTAACGTGTTGGATTAGTAAGCTGGCCAGATTAGTAAGCTGGCCACCCTACTAAGCCGCGCGCAATGCGTCCATCTACATTAATTATAAAGCCGTAATAACGCTCTCTATAGCTTATAAAAGAAGGTAGGATTAATCTTACTATTACCTCCTATTAATCTAATCCTACTTAATCGCTTCGCTGCCTTACACTATCCTTTAATGTACCGTGATTAACCCTGTAGACGTGCCTCTATAGTGTTAAACTAAAACGCGAGATAGTATTAGTTAATTAAAAGTTATCCCCTAGCAAGGAGTAGTCTCTTGTTTAGTGGATCCTAGAGCTTAATTAATGAGGATTTCCACCCAAGATTATTAACGTATAATGGATAGCTAATCATCTACTTACCACACATGGCTAGGATCCTCCACCTCCACCTATAGGCTAGAAGTGGGCATCACGATTCATTAAGACTCAGCCAGAGCTATAGACAAAGTAGGATAGGAAGCTATATAGTTAGCGCGCTCTATATAAGGATCCTATTAAGATCTCTACATAGTATACGCGCATAGAGGAGACGCATAGGATGTATAGCATACTAGATAAAGATACCTATAATTTCAATGAGATAGGATTCATAATGGGTGTAGGATCCTCCTTATCTAAGGTAGTGACTAGCGTAGACACTATAGGTAGAGCTGTATGCGTACAGCTAGGCAATAGAGGCTAGGTGACGACAATTAAGTGTATCTACGCGTCTGGCTGGTCCATCCCACCCCTCATCATCCTGTCTAGTAAGGTCCATCAATCTACCTAGTACAACGACCTACCTATAGGCTAGAAGCTCACAGTCAGCGACAATAGCTAGACGACAGATCAGCTAGGACTTACCTGGCTAGAGCACTTCAATCAGCATACAGAGTCTCGTACTATAGGCTCATGGAGGCTCCTTATCCTAGATGGCCACAGTAGTCATACTACTCCAGAGTTCACTCAGTACTATGCAGAACACAGGATAGTCAGCCTCTATATGCCTGCGCACACGAGCCATCTACTACAGCCTCTAGATGTGAGCTGTTTCTCGCCACTCAAGGCTGCATATGGACGTGAGGTGACTGAGCTAGCACGACAGTCGTGCCTACTTCTCTAGTTGTTGAGTAGTATGAGGCGTCTCAGCTATCCATGTAGCCTCAGCATCTACTGCTGCCCCTAGTGGTGACGGGGTCCTGACTACTATCAGGTGCGAGAGAACGCGATCTAGACAGGGAGGGATAAGTCCTATTACTTAAAAACCACTCTAGATATTCTTCTCTATGAAGACTATCCTGCGTACGCGCAGATAGATAGATAGAAACTCCTCCTTGTCCACATAAAAGACTCCTTGTCGTGCTAGCTCAGTCACCTCACGTCCATATGCAGCCTTGAGTGGCGAGAAACAGCTCACATCTAGAGGCTACAGTAGATGGCTCGTGTGCACAGGCATACAGAGGCTGACTATCCTATATTCTGCACAGTACTGAGTGAACTCTAGAGTAGCATGACTACTATGGCCATCTAGGATAAGGAGCCTCCATAAGCCTATAGTACGAGACTCTATATGCTGATTGAAGTGCTCTAGCCAGGTAAGTCCTAGCTGATCTATCATCCAGCCATTATCACTAACTGCGAGCTTCCAGCCTACAGGTAGGTCGTTATACCAGGTAGATTAATGGACCTTACCAGACAGGATGATAAGGGGTAGGATAGACCAGCCAGACGCGTAGATACACTCAATTATTATCACCCAGCCTCTATTGCCTGGCTATACGTATATAGCTCTACCCATAGTATCTACACTAGTCACTACCTTAGATGAGGAGGATCCTACACCCATCATAAATCCTATCTCATCGAAATTATAGGTATCTTTATCTAGTATACTATACATCCTACA